AAGAATTTTAATCTGTCAGTTGTCATTCCTTCCGCGTATACTGACTGCAACTGTCTCGACATTATTGTCCCATAGTTCACAATTTATGTTTTTGTTTTTCTTGGTCAATTTACTTTTTATCATTAAAGATCCTAACAAAATTCTCAAAAAAATAAATAAATTTAAGTATTTATAGAAGAAATAATAGGTAGAAAGGTAAATCGGTGAGTAAACCACTTACTTCTGACTTGGGTTTGAATCCAACATAGGTAATTTTTTATCAGGATCGAATTAGGTCTCAGAAAAATCTAATGGGTCATACCCATTAAATAACTTATTAAGAGGTAGTGAGTGGTGTTCACAGTAGGTCTTGGTCTTGCACCTTGCTAGACCAAGACCAAGACAGTCGGACTGTTGCAAGACCAAGACCAAGAATGGTAAAAAAATATCGTTCCGTGAATAAAAATTAAGGCAAAATAGTTACTAATAATACTTGGCAATTTTAGTTACTATATGTCTTTACATTAAGCGGAGGCGGTTGACAGAATTTGATAAAATTGATCTGGTACCATCTAGGTATCAACACGCACAATCTCTGAAAATTTCAATCAGATTAGTGGCATTGGATAATAAGCCAGTCACATTGGTGTGACCACACACCCATATTGGCAGGAGCGGGGTGATCGAATGTGCTAACGCGTGTACACAGTACGCTAGTTGCCCGGCAACCAGATAACCGAAGTTATGAGATTAAAAAAAAGAAAAAGTACGAGTTCGCGGCTTGGTGACGAAGGGGATTTTAAATTCCCCGCCCTCATTCTCTGGCCCGGGAAAAGACCAGGTAGGAAAGACCAAGAAAAAAAAGATCCATAATGGCAGACATATAGACACGAAACTAAATTCATTCATTGATGTCCAAAATGTAAAACGCAATTGGAAATTTTCGATTTTGAGCACAAAACTTTTTTAACCTCCTACACGAATATAACGCTTCCTCACTTTCAAAATTTGACCACATACTCTAATTCTTTACATATTAAATCTCTTTTGTTCTTTGTTTATTATTTTATTCTGATATGTATTTAAAACATTTGTGTTGAACTAGACTCGAAAATTGCCAACATATTTTAATCCTTTAAGAAATTGTTGCGTGCTTTGTATATATATATATATATATATATATATATATATATATATATATATATATTTTCCATCAACGAAACTGGATTTTTTTAACATTAATTTATTATTTCCATAATTTCTGATCATTATTTTCCCGAGACTCTGTAGCTGGAAATAGCCTGTATAATTAAAAAAAAAACAGACTATTACTTAAAAATTACTGTTTGGATAGAGAAAATAATTTCTTTTGAATTGTTTAAGCTTATACATTTTTTATCTAGTAGCATACGTGGTTTCATCGATCTTTATACCTGATGAACATAGGAAGGACTGCAATGATAAAGAGAAAGCTGATCTGAATGGAGAGCATTTTAAAGTTGAGAGTTGGCTTTGGGGCAGCTAATGAGTTGCATTAAATATTCAACCTACCCCTTGGACGGTTCATTACACTTTAAACAGTTGCTGAATACACACGCTCAACAGTGTCGTCATCAGTGTCGGTCAATGTTTTGCCACTTCTATCCTCTGAATGTTTTAGTTCTTACGTGGTGTCTCAATAAGCGGCGTGTTAATATGAACATTTTCAATTTAAAACTTAAACTTAAACATTTTGAATTTTTCTTCCTTAAATGGCTGTCATTATAAGATACATAAATGAAACGAGCCTCGGAAAATCGGTCTGTTTTAAGCTGTAGCACAAGATAGGCTGAGGTAGAGAGGGCTAAGGATGCAAAAGATTTACAAAGTCAAATAAAAAAATAAAAAATTCCGCCAAGTAAAGTCAGTATAGCTTCCTCACCAAATTCACCAACAAAATACAGAAAATGAGGAAATATTTAAAAGTTATCGGTGCTTACATCGTACCCTTCAATTATAAATAGTTTCAAAAAGATTTGAAATAAAAACCCTTCCTGCTTTGAATTTTGAGAGGGAAATCGAGACCAGAGCCAGCTGGTTTAACTTCAAAAGTAACAAAGAATCTCTTTGTATTATTTTTTGTAGTCTGTGAAAAAATTAATTTGAATTAACAAATATCCACTATATATAGTAAAGGAAAATCGCATGCCTATGCGAAAGCTGGTGAAGGGGTTCGGCAAAATTTAGATTGGCCATCTAAATTTCAACCCCCACAATCACTGGAAATCACTTTATTTTTTTGTAACGGCAGTAGGTGTCATGCCAGAAATATTTAAACGACAATATCTAGTTAAAATAAACTTTTTTAATACAGTCTAAACCTTAACTTCATAAAACAAAATTATGAACATAACCTCCCTTTCACATGATCAATGTCTTTCCCATTTCACAGCTATTCTATTCTAAAAGTTATTTATTTCAATTTTAATTATTGGGTAGAATTCAATGAAATTGATACTAGGGAATTTCTACACTATTCTCCGCATTTCCTTCAACTTTCAGTCTAATCGAACGAGCGGTTTTCAGATTCGAAAGCGGAAGTATTTTCTTAAAGCAACGGGTGGAATTTTCTGAAATGGATATCTACTTGATTTTCTATTTACCAATCCCTATCTTCCCTCCAAATTTAAGCCAAATCGTATGTGCTGTTTTAAGATGTAGACATATGACGAAAAATACGTTTGGACATATTTAAGAGAAAGTAGTTGACAGAATGCAATGGAATTGATACATTATTTTTTTACTAACATCTATCACTCTTCCAACATTGATTCATATCGAACCAGCTTTTTTTTTAAATATTGGCATACCTAAGGAAATACATTTGCGAAAGTGGTGGATGAAATTTATCTAAATTCTTAAATGTAATTTCTTGCAAATTCTCTAAAAATTTCTTGAAAATCAGATAAGCCATAGTAGGTGATACGCCCGATGCATCGATTTGACTACATACAGACAGACGCCAAACCAAATTTGATCCTTGATGTCTGAAACGTAAAACGCGAGTGGAATTTTTCTATTCTGAGAACATAATTTTTTTTAACCTCCAACACGAATACAAAGCTTCCCTACCTTCGGTAGTGAGGAAGCAAAATTATATTTAATAATTTTTTTTAGTTATCATATGATCTTCATAATTAAAATATTTAGACTAATGTGACAAATATTTCCAACTAGGGAATGCAGACTGAATTATCCTACAGATTGCTGATATATTCCAGCCAAAGTCACATTAAGGTCGAGATTAATTTACCGATAAAATTATTAATTACATTACATGTATTAAATGGAAAATCAAATATTACAATAAAAAAAAGATATTTTCTTCGGTTCAGAATCTATTATAATTTAGCTTTAAACGAAACTTTCTTAATAAAATGTTTAATACTATTTTCCCTATGTCTAATAACATAATATTATTATTGATAGTAAACTATATTCAAAATCACAGATGCAATTTATCATTATTTTTTTTAATATAAATTTACTTACAATAAGAATTAAAATATTTCTTCTAATCCATCGAGCCTTCTAAATAATAAATTTATCATTTTATGGAAGTTGTTAATTTATATCAATAATTTATAATATATTGAAATTTACAATGATAATTTATATCACAAAGTTTCCGCCGTGCGTCATATTTAAAAAAAATAATAATTTTTACTTATTTGATGTACTTATTTAGTTATCCATGACTAAATGAATATATTTTCGGTTCCGATTGCCTTTAAAATTTTTAGTTTTGGTTAGTTTTATACTTAATTAGACAGTAAAGGGAAATCAGCATATCAATATTCAATATAAGTTTTAGAAAGTTTATCGTAAAGTCTGTTATATGATCAATCTTAATGTTTGCGTTCATGATTGCTCAGAAAGATGACGATTAGATATTTCTCTCAATTTATTAGTTTTTAAAATGTATAAAAAAATTGAAGTTTATTATGTCAATATTGGTAGAAAATGTTGATAAAAGTAATATTAATCTATCATCTATGTTGCCTAACCCATCAATTTGTATTTAATTTATTTAAATAATTTGAAAGTATGAATATTTTATAGTTTGAATTGGGGTTGCTGATTATTTATGTATATATATATATATATATATATATATATATATTTATTTATTTTATTGTAATTGTTTACATACTTTTCTTTTCTAGTTTTACATGATATACATTTTCATTTCAAATTTATATATATTAACAAACAAAAACATAAAGAATAAACACACAAAAGTAAAAATAAATCGGAATATTAAATATTAAACACAGAAAGTCAATTCAACAAAGCCCTCAAGAAATATATATATATAGAAACAAAAAAATCTGTTTTTTTTTCCCTCTTGGCTCTTCTTGATACTAAGCAATATACGTGGTAAGCTGGTGGGTGTCTTTATTATAGAATAAGCAGACCTGATGAAATACATTAATTTCCTCCGATGTGGTGAGGCTGCACCCTTAAGATCCTGGATTCGGGGATTGTGCCCCTCCATTAATCATGGATGCACTGCCCACGCTCCTTTGAGCTGTAAGCAGTAAGGATTATATTGAGTCTGGGGGAACATTATATCTCCAACCAGGGTTAAAACTTGATAGGGGCAAAGCGGGCACTTGCTCCGTGAACGAAGATTTATAGGGCAGTGACCTCAGAGCAAAACTTTTATTTTTATGCTAAATAAAAAATACTCAAGTAAATGAATGAATTTTATGAGGGGATGGTATTTATTTCAAAATACATTTATAAACTGTTTACTTTTTTTTAAGGAAAGTTAGGAATAATACGTGGTGACAAAATTAGGCTGTCGTACCAATACTCTAATATCCCGTGATGACCTATTGTTTACCAGATTGCTCATCTTTTATAGTATTTAATTTTTTCCCTTAATTTAGACATTTAAAGAACCAATTATAATCCAATTTTACTTACTGTTTATATTTATTAATGTATACTTACTATATTGACTTATCACCATTCGATCATGATATATTAAATGCATAATCATTCATCGGTGATCTGTTCTCGCATCTTACCGATTTTTGCCAATTTCACTTTCAATTTCCTCTTCAATGCCTCGTCGATGGCGGAATAGACCAACCTCTTCTTGTAGAATAGGTCTTCGTAGAATTCCATCATTTCCATTCCATACGCTCCTCTCCTTTCGAAGAAGTCCTTCGCGTTCGGTATGGTCATATAGACGAAATATTCGCCGCCGATGTCCACCAAAACTTTCTTCTTTCCGGCCATCACCCCCTCGACATACATGTAGTCTGTGAGCTTGATCCAGCTAGCTTTGTTCTTTGTTTCCATCTTTGCTAGTGTATCCAGGCTGTCCCAGGAGCTCTGGTACTCTTCGATCAACTCCTTCCAGTAGATGTTGGTCTCGTAGAGATGCATCGCCGCACTTTCGGTGATTTCCTTGTAGCTCTCCAGTTGGTAAGTGCTGAGATTGCGGAGCTCCAAGGAGAGCTCTTGAATCTGCAATTCCAACGACATGTTGTCTCAGTACAGAACATTTGTCATTATCACTACTTATCACTAAATCATCTGTTGTGTGATTTCAAATTAATACATCTGGTTCACTGACATCGTTACTGTTAACTATTAAATGATTGCAAATATTCCATTGTAATGATAAGGGTAACAGTTTTATTTTTAGTTAAACATTTTTGTACATATGGTATGTAATTGTATTATTTGATATAATTTTTTTTTTTTTTTTTATGTGTATGAAAATCTTAGGTTGAACTTAGCGTGTCACGTCTGAACAACAAGTGGGCCAAGATCACTTTGATTACACTGTTCGTGGAATGCCGAAGCCAGCCGAATGCTTCCGAAAGTATTCTTTCGGCTAAACATATCAGTTTATGATCGATCTACAAACCTTTCTATTATTAAATTTAAATAATTGAGTAAATATATTTACAATGTTTAGGTTGTGTTACAATTTTCATAAGCGCACTATTTCGGGTTATGACTTCGAATAAAAATACTAATAGAGTTTAAAATTCAATTAAAATATATTTGATATACTGTCTTATCCGTTTTAAAATATATTCTGCTGTTATCTTTTGTAACTGTCATCTATAATAAAATTTATATTTTATTAAATTTATATCTTCAGGTCAGTTTATTTATGATGATCAGTTTAATTGGAAATATAAACTATTCTAACGTGTCATAAGACACAATCGACTAGCTCCATCTCATGAACAGTATGATCAAGTAATCTTGTAACAACCTGTGATCCAAGCGTAACACTGCTACAGAATGGCCAAATAATGCTTGGCACTGTTAATTTAAGAAATAACATTTACATTTCTGCTTCTGGGGCTGTAGGCAAAATATTATCATAACTGACATTGAAAAGACCTTCTCACTCTGGTTGGATATTATTACATGGGTAACCTGGACGTTAAACCTAAAAAAACAATTGCTTAGGTTATTTTAACGTTCTAATTTATTATTGGTCACGATTCAACACATGATTGCTTCATTTATTGATGAAACTTTTCAATACTTCATAACCAATCATTAATTTTATCTAATTCAATTAATTTGATCACTCACCCCATTTTTTTACAATCCTCAATAAATATTAATGCATTTTTTAAAAATATATATTACAAAACTGAGCTAAATTGGATATTTTTTTTTTTAAAACTAGGATTAAATATAAGTTCTCCAACCGTCAAACTTTGACTATATGTATCTGTATTTTTATTATATTTTCCGTTAATTATCACTCTTTTTCTTGTTTTGATTGTAGCCCTAGTATGTTAGACCGGGCCAGTCTCATTTATGCCACTTTTTTTCACAACTATCGCCAATAAAAAAATTGTCGTCTCTGTGAAACGTTTCACTTGGAAATTTGCGAATGTATTTCGATCATTGTTCTTTTTTTTTTTTAAGTTTGACTTTCTGCATTTTACTGTTAGAACAAAATTATTTACACGTCCTGGCATACAACGTGATGAATTCTGAATAATAAATTTAAAATTGATAGGGGAAAATTGTTTATGCCTTTACGACAAATCTGATTAAATAGAAGTTTCGGGTCAGACAAGTTGGGTTCTTTCCTTTCCAAAAATTTATTTAGTTTGTTGCTTATGTTTTACATATCAGTAATTATAAATCTGGTTCTTAATGATTAAATTTTGACTATTTAAAAACGCTGCAAATTATTACACAGTGGTTTATTATTATCAAATAGCTATCTATATGTGCCATCTCACACCATTACTACCACTTTGGAGAAAAATGCAATATAAAAATTAGGACTTGAAAAAGTTGTTTGACTTTTATTTGAAATTGTCTCGGCATTACTGGATTCTTTCTTAGACTTGGATACATAAACAAACGACATATTGGAGTCAATTAAGATGAAAAAAACTCTAATGTGAGCCCGATTACTGTTTGTTTCACACTGAACATATTTTTTTTTTGAGAAATTAAATAAATAGGAATTAAACTTTTACTATAAACCTAGAACTTAATTACCAAAAAGTCTCTTCGAAGTTTTATTTCATGTACTTTTTTTTTTCCTAAAATGTTTCACAGAAATTGTTAAAATTAACCTTTTTAAAAGAATTCTGTAAAGTTTTCAATAGCTAATAAACATCGTTTTCCAATATTAGCCAGTTTGATTATTTTTAAATGTTTTTTTTTTTTTTTTTTTTTTTTTTATTTCAATGGAATTTACAACTGTATTACATAGAGAATACAATAAGTAAATGAGAAATTTGTAACATGGCATGTACAACATGAAGAGAAACTACCCATTGGTAGAACTCAAATTAAAGTTCTATATTAGAAGATCCCGAGGCCATCTTCTTTTCAGACGCCTCGGAGGATTATCAAGGATCGAGGATGAAGCAAGGTTTGAAACGAGAGGATTCGGATGATTCTGCAGTTTGTTATGGAAGGAAAGGTATCTGGATTGGGCCAGATCGGAAACATATGGAACATCAAGGTCTTTATGGATGATTTTATTTGTGACAAAGTAAGGAGCGTTGAGGATTTTACGAAGGATTTTGGATTGTAAGGATTGGATACGAGAGGAATTCGATGGTTTAGTGGAGCCCCAAAGCTCAATTCCGTAAGTCCAAATAGGTCTTATTATTGTCATATATACGAGTCGTTTATAATTGATTGAAAGCTTAGATCGTTTGTCTAGTAAGTGCTGCAGTAGTCGAAAACGTCGGGCGGTTTCTAGTCGTTTCAGTCTGGTGTGGGGGTTCCAAGTGAGTCGTTTGTCAAGGTGGAGTCCTAAGTAGCGGATTTGCTCAACAGGAATAAGTGGAGTATTATTGAAGGATACTGTAGGACAAGAGGTCATAGGTTTACGACGGAGGGTAAAAGTGATTTGATGGGATTTGTTGGAATTTATTTTTATTCTCCAATTTTTACACCATTGTTCAAGGCTTGTGATATGTGATTGCAGAGTTTGGGATGCAATTAAAGGATCGTTATTAACTGATAGGATACACGTGTCATCGGCATAGGTGGTGATGACAGTGTTGGATTGGGTTGGGATGTCAGCTGTATAAACTGTGTAAAGGATAGGACCTAGGATACTACCTTGAGGAACACCGGCAGACTGAGTAAAAAGAGATGAATAAGCATTGTTATGATTGACTTTGAAGTATCTGTCAGTAAGGTAGGAACGTATAATGAGGAAGTATGTAGGTGGTAGGAATTCACGGAGTTTGTACATCAGTCCCGGATGCATTTTTAAATGTACGCCTGTTAAATCATTCCCCAAATGTACGCCATATTTTCTTGGTTGAGTCCAAAGATTCTTTATAGGAAATAATATACTGAAATACTTTCTATTAAAAAAAAAAAAAAAAAAAAAAAGTACTGTTTTAAGGTCAATTTGTGCAGGGAGGTGACCAGGACAGAATTTTCAACAAAACGCTCAATCGCCGTAGTCCTCCCTTGATTAATTATTTTAATTAAGTGTGCACTCTTTATAAAAGCCTCTGGGTCTATAAAGGCCTCTCATTCCAGTCGATCCACAGCCGATGAAAAATTACTTATCATCAGCCTGTTTCGAAACCGAGCTTTGGAAGTCACTGCTTACCCACTGAGTTACTCCGTTCCCTGAAAATACTTTATATGGAGATTGAAAAATAAATATCAGACTTTGCTGATTTTAAAAAGGTTGAGAATTAATTAAGCATGCTTAGTCACTGTACCTTATAATCATAAGATTATTTTATATTAAAAATAATTTATTTTATTATTTTTAATTATCGTTTTAGTTATTTATTGAAATGCATATATAATAGGAACCGTTATGCAGTATGTGGCAGTAACTTTTCGGGATTTGAGAGAGATATCCTCGATCCTTTGCATCACCGTACACAAAGCAGTTGAGACCTGCCTTGGAATCAGTTGTGTGTTGACAGAGCAAACTGTGGCAGCTGCTGGCCGGGCCTGTGGTTATGTTATGGTCTCACCGCTTCCCGGGCTCTGTTGACCTTCGCACCATGTCTTTCCGTTTGTCGAGTCGAATTATTTTCCCATTTCTATACTCATTGTAGCCACGATATAATAAGCCATTAATCATAACAACCCAGCTTTCACGTCGAGTTGTTCAATCGTTGTTTAAACTATATTCCCCACTAATCTTATTTTCAAACTGGAGTTCTAAAAATAATATTGCTGTTGAACTTTCGTTCGTTCTTAATTATTATTATTTCGTGGTAGAGACCTCCTTTTGTCAAATTATTAACATCTTCGGGAAACTTCGTAAATAGCTTCATCTCATCGTCACCTAATAATATTTTATTTACGAAAGTTCACGGAATAGGTTTTCAATATGGAGGTAGGCAAGCTTTATCTATTTAATTATGTACTAAAAACTCGTAAATACCTATTTGATTTCCACTTGGATCGTGAGATAATTTGATCATAAAATCTATAAAAAAAGGGTGACCTACAAAAATATTGAGCCATTTGGCCTATATAACCTCGTTAGAGATGAATCTATTAACGTGGTTATTAATAATTTGATAAAATGGGGCCTGTACCACGGACTATATGGTTTGAACTCCAAGTTTATTTTTAACCTGAGAACTCCTCTGTGTGAAGAGTTCTCAGAACTCTTACCTAACATTTTTGTAGATTGTATAATATTATTATGCAAGAATATCAATACATCATTTCATCAACTTACGAAGAACTTTACCCAGAAATTGGGAAGAAACTTCCTAAAATTTCACCCCACCTGCTAAAATATTCAGATGAAGTTCTAATTTTACATGGATGTAGATAACTCAATGCCCAATGTTATTTTGTAAACAAAGAATGTCATAATGATCTGACCAGAAACTGCTAACGTATATTCTTTTTTTCACTACCGATCTATTTACCTTGAAATATCATTTCTCTATTGTTAAGCGAATATAATATCTACTTCTTTTATCATTGATTCGGCTTTATGGTTATATATCCTTACCCTTGTCTCATTCATGTTCAGAATGAAAACAATTTAATTAAATGTTTATTGGTTTTTAAAATTTTATTTTTATAACTTTAAGGAACTATTTTCGGTATTTATATGTTTACGAAGAAAAGTATTTTTTTTTATCAAGAAAACTTTTTTCATTCACTCGATTTCAGTTGATGGAATCTATTATGATGAAGAATGATAATGATGATTAACTATGTTAATTCTTTTTTTCTGAGTTTACATAATATAAGCTATATTATACATAATGTTAACAGAAAAAAATTCTTGACATAATATATCATATTTATGTATAACATATTATATCAGATTCTAATAATTACCCCTTCCTACTAAAACCTTAATCTAGATTAGCATTTAAGAAGAGGGGAGACAACTATAAGACCACCATGGTGACTGGCTATGAACCTGATGATCGCTGATGGTCCGCAGAAGA